AGAGATCAGAGATCCCTTTGCCTGTGGGAAGGTGGGGTGAGTAATCTGCTGGGACCTCCTTTCCTACCTCTTTGTGCCCCTACTGCCTCCTGTGCTCAACTGGCCCGACCCCTCCTCAGGGCTCCCAGGGCACCCTGAGCACGACCTGCTCTGAGTCTAACTAGCTGGTCATGTGGCTGCTACCTTCTCTCATCCATCCTGGGCCTTGAAGTTAGGCAGACCTGGGGTTTTGAGTCGTGGCCTCATGGCAGGACAAAGACCTCCCCGCCCTTAGCCTCAGTTTTCCCATCTCTAACAAAGCTTGTGTACCCAGCATACAGTACATCTGGGCCAGGTACCCCAAGGATCAGCTATTACTGCACCCACTTTACAGCTGGGGAAACTGAGGCCCAGAGAGAGACAGGAAATAGCCCAAGGGTACCAAGTGAGTCAGGGGATTCCAACCCGGGATTTGGGCCTCTCTCTGAGTTGGGGGTGGGAGGGGTCCGACCTGGCTTATGCTGCCATGCCCCTGCCTTGCCTGTCTCCCCCTAGGTCAGCATCCCCTGGCCCCCTGCCGAGCATGGTGACAGCCTGTGCCCTCGGCCCCCTCATGTGGCACAGCTGGAAGAACCGCCAGCCTCGGGCGCCTATGGCCTACCACGTGAGAGAGTGAGGGAGTGAGGGAGTGGCCTGGCCCAGTCCAGCCCTTTGGATTGAGGGGGCTTCACAACCACTGAGTGACCAGAGAACACACTGCCGATCCCCTCCCACCAGTTGGTGAATGATGGGCGGAGCAACGAGTGACCCTTGTGAGGGTTATGGAATAACGACAGAAGACAAGGCATGAGCATCCCCTGTAGTCACCTGTAACTTCTTGCTGGAAACAGAGGTCTGAGCACCTCAAGCCAACCCAGTGGACCCACCTGCCCCCACCCAGCTGATGGGGCCACTGGGGCCCCGCGCAGCCCCCTGACCACACAGACCCCCCTGCCCACCATGGCTGGCGCTGAGGGCTTCCAATACCGTGCACTGTACCCGTTCCGCCGGGAGCGGCCAGAAGACCTGGAACTGTTGCCCGGTGACGTGCTGGTGGTGAGCCGGGCAGCCCTGCAGGGGCTGGGTGTGGCCGAGGGCAGTGAGCGCTGCCCGCAGAACGTGGGCTGGATACCTGGCCTCAATGAGCGAACTCGGCAGCGCGGTGACTTCCCTGGTACCTACGTGGAGTTCCTGGGGCCTGTGACCCTGACCCGGCCTGGCCCTCGCCCCCGTGGCCCCCGTCCACTGCCTGCCAGGCCCCAAGAGGGGCCCCCTGAGCCAGGTGAGCTGTAGGCAGGGACTCTGTCAGGGATGTGGGGGGGGGGGTCCCCTTAGGCCCTCCGTTTCCTCTTCAGTAGGCAATGGTGCCTCTTCCGGGGAAGGAGGAATAAGGACGTTTAGTCAGTTGACAAGTGTTGACTATGCTGCTGTCAAGGCCTGGACGCAGCTCACAGTATTGGGAACACAGGGGTAGACACAGGCCTGGCCCTGCCCTCATGGGCCTGGTTCAAGAAATGAAAAGATTGTGATTAGCTGACAACAAAGGCTGTAAGGAAGGAGCTGGGGGTGACGGGCTCTAGGCCATGGCCCTAACAGGACAGAGTCCATGAGCTGGGAATGTAATGGGTTCAGGGAACAGGGGCCATGCTTCAAGGACCTCATGGGATGAATTCTGAAGACAGTGGGGAGTTTTTAGTAGAATCCAGAGGCTCAATTTAGCTTCATTCTATGGTCTGTAGCCAGGGTTCCTTGAGGCACCCCCTTTGTTACCCTGATTTTTCCTGGCTTCCAAAACGAAGGGAGCCATGAAACCAGAAAGGGTGGACGCTCAATGGAGGCCATACAGCAGGTGCCGTGTGGGGACACCACCCCCTCCCGAAAGACCCTCGGCCATCCCCCCTCTCAAGGGTGTGCTGGGAGTAGAGACTCATGGACCCTGAGTTGACACTGCTGTATGCTGGGCCGGGGGGTGGGGGGTGAGTTCTACCGTGGAAATCAAGGCTCAGGTTGTGGGGAAGAGATTGATGAGCGCCGAGTGCCCAGCATGGCCTGCTCTAACCGCACAGCAGCCCAGGGAAGCCCGTGTACAGATGGGGAGACTGAGGTGCAAGAGGGTCAGATCACTGTTTCAGGACCACCCAGTGAAGGCGAAGGCCCTGGGACGCACCATGGCCCCCGCCCACGGCCTGTCTGGGTTTGTGCCATAGGGACACTGGTGCCCACAGAGGGCGGAATGGGGGCACCAAGGCAGGGTGCTGCTAGCTTGGGACTTGCAGCATCTGGTGTCTCCAGGGCCTGGGCCTGGGCCTGTGTCCTGTGTTGGCCTGGAAGAGCAGGAGGTGGCCCCATCCAGGCTCCCAGCCAGAATCTGCCTCTCTCCCTGGTAACAGCCGCCTCCCTCCTCTGCCTGGCCCAGGTCCAGCCTCCACACACATCCCCGCTCAGGGCGGTAGCCCTGCCCTCCAGATTTTCCAGGCTGGGTGCCTTGGTGGGGAGGGGCCTCTCTAAACCTCAGTTTCCTCATCTGAAAACAGGGAGAACTGGTCTCTGTGCCTTCAGACCCTGCCCCAGCGGGATCCTGGGACCACCACCCCCGGGGAGCATGCTGGGGCTGCGTTGCTTCCTCCGTCCCGTCCCATGCAGGGTGCCGAGTGCAGCAGCCCAGTGTCACCTGAGCTGTGCACCCACGGTGAGGTTGCTCCCTCTCTGAGCCTCAGGTCCTCGTCCATAAAACGGGGTGATGGCTGTTCTGATGGAACCTCCCTCCCCATTTCACAAACCGGTCACAGAACTGTGGCAGCCCCACCTTCTCTCCCCTTGTTCTTTCACTTTTTTTATTTTTGGGGCTTTTTCACTGTAGCTGGGCCTTTCTCCAGCTTGAGGCACCACCTGGCCCATCACTCAGGGAGGCCCCACAGGCCCCGGCTTGCCCCTGTTGTGTGCCAGGGCGTCCCTGCCGAGGGCCAGAACCGCATCAAATGGTGTCCATGCAGGCAGAGCTGCTGAAAACAAAGGGCCCCCTGGGAAGCTCAGAGCCTGAAGGGGCTGGGCCAGGGAGGCCCCTTTCCCTCTGGGGGTGATTTCAGCATTTTTAAATGGGGGGGGGGGGGGGAGGGGAGATAATTTTTTCGAGGCAAAATGACTTAGAAAACAGAGGAATGTCTTTGGAGTGAGGTGTCCTGGCCTCGATGGGGATATTTTCCCTTTAGACTCTGCCAACCACGTTGTTATTCCACTAAAAAGGGAGAGATAATGCCAGTTTCTCAGTTGAGGAGACGGAGGCACAGAGAACGTGGTTCCTGTGCTTGAGGTTGCACAGTGAGCAGTGGTAGGGGCTGAAACCTGTTGTGTGAGTTTCCTGGGGCCACTGTAACAGACTCCCACAAACCAGGTGGCTTCAAACCACAGAGTGTATTTTCTCAAGGTTCTGGAGGTCAGAAGTCCAAGATCAAGTGTCAGCAGGGCCACACTCCATGTGGAGGATCTTTTCTGCCTCTTCCAGCTTCTGGTGGCTCCAAACATCCTTAGCTTATGGCCGCCACGTTACCCCAACCTCTGCCTCTGTTGTAACATGGCTTCTCTTCTTTTATTTTTTAAATTGATTTTAGAGAGGGAGGAAGGTTCTGGTGGCTCCAAACATCCTTAGCTTATGGCCGCCATGTTACCCCAATCTCTGCCTCTGTTGTAACATGGCTTCTCTTTTATATTTTAAATTGATTTTAGAGAGGGAGGAAGGGGAAGAGAGAAACATCCATGTGAGAGAGACACATCAATGGGTTGCCTCCCGTATGCATCCCAACCAGGAATTGAACCCACAACCTAGGTATGTGCCCTGACGAGGAATCGAACCCAGGATATTCCGGTTGACACTCCAACCAACTGAGCCACACTGGCCTGGGCACATGGCTCTCTTCTTATAGCTACCAGTCATTGCATTTAGGGCTCTAAACTCACAATGATTTCATCTCAAAGTCCTTCCCTTAATTATACCTGCAAAGACCCTATTTTCAAATAAGGTCCCAGTCACAGGTACTAGGGATTAGGATGTGGACATCATTTTGGGGGGGGGACACTAATCAAACTACTACACCTGGTCTGAGGTTGCGTGACTGATATCTTGACCCAGAAAATTGTTTGCCGTTAACTTGGTCCTCCCACCCTCAGCCACGGGGCCGCTGGCTTTCCCAGGGTAGTGGTCCAGATGCCAGGCCCTTGCCTGAGCTGGGCCCTGCCTGGAGCTGCCCCGGCCGAGATGCAGCCGGCCAGGAAAGGGGCCGGGGTCCTTCTGGGGATCCTGCCAACATGCTGTCCCCTCCTGCCAGGCCTCACGCTCCCTGACCTACCTGAGCAGTTCTCCCCACCTGATGTGGCTCCCCCACTGCTGGTAAAGCTTGTGGAGGCCATTGAGCGGACAGGTGAGTCTGGGCCGTGATGCAGCCCCTGCATTCTGCTTGCTTTAATTCTGGTGATGGGCGACTCATCCCTTAACGGCTGCTGGGCTCCCTCTGCATGGGAGAAGGCTGAGCACATGCTCTGGGCCTCCTTGAACTGGGGAAGGAATGGCTCCCAGGGGAGATGGGACCGCCCTTGCATGTGCTGCGTCCTCTGCCCCCTCCCCCTCCCCCACCCCTATATGGGATCAGAGCAGCATTTGACAGATGTCTCACTCCCCCACCAGGGCTAGACAGCGAATCCCTCTACAGGCCCGAGCTGCCGCCCCCGTGCACAGGTGAGGGAGTGCTTCCACAGATGGGGGGACAGGGAGTGGACCCCAACAGCCCCACAGACATCGCCCTCCTGCACCCACAGACTGGTCCCTGAGCGACCTAGAGCAGTGGGACTCGGCAGCCCTGGCCGATGGCATCAAGGGCTTCCTGCTGGCACTGCCTGCGCCCCTTGTGACGCTGGAAGCCGCGGCAGAGGCCTGCCGTGCCCTGCGAGGTGAGCCTTGTGGGGAACCCTGGGCGCGGAGGGGCCGGGGG